GAAACAAAAAAATCCTATATTTCCGTCACGTATTTTATCTGTTTGATTATTATCAGGCAATTTACGAGAATTTGGTAGTACTGCCCCTTACAGTTTTAGTCAAACAATAGAAAAAAGGACAACTACTACTCGTATCCATATTGGATTAACTTTAATGACGTAAGAGCTTAAGTGACTATAACATAGACAATTTGTTTCTTTACAGCGCGCACACCTCTGACTCAACTATCGCCTATCGTAAAGTCACAATTGTTTAGTCTTGCTTTGATTCCTATAAGCTTATATGGAGGTGCACACGAATCTTTTTTAATTGTGCTACTAAACTGTTGTATTGCCTGCGAAACAATCGATAATCGCACAACTGTTGTGCGATTCTTTAATCATAGGTGTGCGCTCGCTCTTAGAAGTCGAATGCATTTATAGTTTATTGATCTCAATGGTAATTCTCCTTTAAAGTAAAGAAATTTATCTTTATAGCTTACTAGAATTAAATAAAAATACTTTTGCTAGTAAAAAGTAACATCATAACTCAATAACCCTCAACGGAAATGTAAGGATATGACAGAAATATAAATCGTTTATTCTTTGCCACATAGGTGAAGCTGGGGCGGATTGCTAGTTTTGAATAGACTTTGTATTATAATAAATATGTTACGGAAATTTCCATGTTTTAAAGTTGTCACAGTCGTAGTAACTAGGTTTGTAACCTTTGTCACCGAACACATGTTACACTGTACTGCGCGGTCTAGGCAAATAAATTCATTGTACTACGGACTGTTTTATCCCCACATAAGATGTTATGTACTCCTGATATCGGCCTACAAATACGCCTTAGATATTACATTCTAGATAGCCACAGCCACTCAACTTTAGTGTTATAAATATTATTCAACGAGCAGTCGCCCGCAAACTTCGTTAGCGTGGAATATAAAAATGGTCGTCTATAACACTCCCGTGTACATTTACTTTTTACCAGCTACCTTCCAGTCATAGTCCCGTCCAAATCGGTCCACCCGTTCTAGAGATAGTGGTCCGGTCGCCATTTTGACCGTACGGAATTAAAGTAAATGTAGCTTATAAAGGGCTGGAAACAAAAAGCCCAAGATAGACCGATATGGAGGAATTTACTGGACCAGGCCCAGGCCCACCCGCGGCTGTAGTGCCTCTGATGATGATGAGCCTATAAAATGCCCTTTCATGTCAGCTACCCTTCAGTGAAGTCCAGTCGAAATCGGCCCAGCCGTTTCGGAAATTGCCCGGAACAAACGTGGCTTGGGGACATACAGACGCAGACGATTTTTTTAAATGCGATTTTCGTTATCAGCTACGCAAATACGTTAGCTTCCCGAAATATGGAGTTTTTTCTTTGATATTACAGACAGACACTCCAATTTTATTAAATGTATAGATGATCTTTCATTGTCCTTTGAAACCCTTCTCAACTTCAACAATTTCCCATTTAAATACCCATTTTTAAATATCTATAAAATGTTGTTCCATTTGTAATCAATTCAAATTATCCCCAGATGTTAGTAAATTCAATTGTGATGTTTTTATTTCCTTTTTATTTATTTACCAGCACAATTCACGCACATTTAATACGCCTTACCTTATCAATTGTATTCGATAACGGATGTACGGAACCAACGGATTGAAAATCCGTTTCACGGTTGACCGATTTATGTAATTTAATAAGTTGCAACAAGTTATATGCCAGCTGTAGCTATGCTTTCTGTTGTCAAGTGCACTAAATATTCGTACTTGAGACCTTGAATGCCATTTTTATTTCTTAACTAAATTGTAAGCTTAGTAAGTAATAACTTAGGCTAACTAATGGAATTTCAACACAGCTAATGCACGATATAATCTATCATAAATATATAAAAAACAATGTAAAGTTGCAGACTTGACGCATATATCTAATTGTCTAATCTTTGATACACGATTTGTGCCAAGGTTCATTCTACATCAAGCGGTACCAAACCACGACCTGTCTAGACCACTCGACGCCATTTCTATTTTGATATGTGCCCCTAGTATCGATTTATTGCTGGACATAATCTGTGGTAAATGCACATGACGCTTCCAGCGGATAAAGCGCTTCTGCATTAGGTGGGGTTCAAACAAAGAACTACCTGAAGCGCTGTAGGCGTTATTTTCTGCCTAACGACAGCGTATCTATGTCAGAAGGGCTCGGGGGGCCGTGACATAACGCTGCATTCAATTTTAACCTAATTTTGAATACGTCGTATATCTTTTACTATGCCGTTCGAAATTAATCTTTATTGCGATGGGCCTAAGGTTGAGTGTCATTTTTGGTCAATAAAGTTTACATTGCCTTGTGAACACAGTTGATATTGGAAGGTCGTATGTCGTAACTCATGCATTAAACTTTCAACCGTAACGTATGTTAATGATTACCAAAGTGGATTATCAAGCGCGCCTCATTAACACCGACTTGTAACACCTTTGTTCGAAATTATCACAAAAGACTTTGTCGAATTTTATTTTCGTTGTCTTGAACGTAATGGAAATAATGTTTATTAAACCAGTTGCCATGTTAAAACGGAAAAACAATGTAACCGTGCTGGGCGCTGTTTCTATCGGAGCATTGAACTTGAACTTTGTCTCGTAGTAGTAAAGTTCAATTTCAATCGTAGCGCGGCTACAGTCGGCATGCGCGAATTTCATATACTGTTGACTTATGTTGTCCTGGTACTTTTGCGCGATTTCACTGCCTTCATTTTGCGAACGCCACCAGGTGCGGGCTGTAAAAAAATTACTTGTCATTTGCAGAATTTAAAAATCAAACGATATACGAATAATTTTGAATATCTTGTTTTTGAGGTTTTGGTGTTTTTATGCCTTTTCCGGTCGCAATATTCAATTTTATATAGAGTACAAGTGAGCAATTTTTTCTGAGAAACGTAGGTTATTGCAGTGCATTATTGAATAATTTCACATAGACCTAGAATGTTATGGAGGACAGGCCGTCATTCCATCCCTTTCCGACCTTCGTGGTACGTGGCGATGGCGGTCATCAAATCCTACGCGTGTATCATTAACTGCGTAATTTGATGATGTCATAGTTTTTATAATAATTTGTGCAACAGGAGTTAACCATGACTTAGCAAATTTTACTATGGACCCTTCTAAGGTTTTCAACATGTTGAAACTTGTTGAAATGTTTATAAATTAGTAGGTATATGATTTCCATTGTTCCCAGATTCGAATTTGAACACTTTTTATAGCACTAGGGGCACACGAATATGTTTTTGTAGTTCACCAACCATTACAAATTAAAGTAACTATTTCAGTTAAAATTAAAATATTGATGCTTATTACTTTATTCCCATGGTATTTTAGCAGATCAATATCTAAACTTGAATTAAAATAATCTAATTTAGTTAAATAAACCGAGTAAAACTATTTTCTAGTTCAATTAAATTATTCCTTTGTTCTTATAATTATGATATTAGTATTAGTATGATAATCATGATTCGCATGTGGGTCGCGGCACTTCGCATCCGCCATCTTTGTTGTTGGATAGGGACGGAGATATGTAAACTAAAGGTGCGAGAGCGAGATAGACGAATGTTTGTCAACATTGTGTTGTTTAAATTTAGAATGGCGTATACTTCCGCATCTTTAACGGGGAATGGCCGTTTCGTGGAGATGGTTTACGTGTTATTTATACCATAGTAAACAGTTTCCACGTGCCAACGCTCCGTTATTGCGTTGTTATTGGCCGTCTATTAACCTCTTTAATTATTATGCAACAAAGTAAAAATACTGACCTTTCTAAAAGAAAGTTTAGCGATTATATTATCTCTGGGTCTTAACTTACTTTTTTATAAAAAAAAATGTTACATTTCTTAATACTTGTAATTTCTTAATAATGTAAAATATTATAGAAGAATATGTACACATTGTAATTAGCAATAATATCGATAATGGATATCAACCTGTCGCTGGTGGGGGAGGGGGGAGGTAGCTAACAATATCACGTGACGCTCGAACCGGTCCGTACCTTACTTTGTACCACGACTATCATACACGTTTCCTTGAACTTTCCATCGTTAAAACGAACAGCTAATGGTCTTACTGTCGTTGTCGAATTAAATTCAATGCCATACATTTTACCGTAACAAGTCATTTCAACAACCAAAATTATGATTTAGGTATAATTGGCATACGAGAGTGAAAGAGAGAGTAGATTAGACGAAATAAAAAGAATCGTGTAAAATAGTAAACTGTTTTGTTATCGGCGTCCTTCCGATGTAGATAAGATGTGCATGGAATAGTGATACGATAGTTACCTCATTGTTTATGCTATCCTGGTACTTTGGTTGTGTGGCGCAGTGGACAGCCCTGGTGGGAAAAACTAAAAACTTGTTTATTAGTTCTTGTAGTAAATATATACTAATATTACAAAGAGAGACTTGGTTTTTGTATATATTTGATTCACGCAAAAACTAATGGACCCGGACAAAGTCGAGAGCCACAGCTAGTATAAAACATTTTGACTACTTAGACCAGTTGTTATATTAAAGACTGTTCTTATTATGGGAAAATCAATAAGTTACACAAAGGATGTGCTCGGAAATGGTTTGCAGTGATTCAAAAACACCCTGTTGCCGCGAAACCATAGGAGTTGCCGTTGAGTCATAAACCATCGCTCACATGTTTGTTATTCTACTAGCTTTCGCCCGCGACTAGGTTCGTGTGTAATTCAAAAAAACAAAAAAAATACCAGACTATCCTCTACATCCATACCAAATTTCATCGAGATCCGTTCAGCAGTTTAGGCTACAAACTCTATCTAGGTAATAATTGCGTCGCTCTTACAATAACGCGGTGTTTCCCAATTACTTGTGTAATTAATTACTTGCGAAGGAGATATGAAAAAATCAAGTCAGTACCCAATCAGCCTGTATAATGCAATACTAGGATGACATGACGCAACAGTAACGCAAGGACGCGTTTACTTCAACCTTATAACAAAAATAATGTTTAAACATTGTTAAACACGTGTTTAATTCTGACCACTGAATGATTTGGATGTCAACGTTTTATGTTTCTTCATAAATATTTTAATGATCACAAATTAATGATGTAGGCGAAGGGGCGCCTAGAATCACGTTAAAAGGGTTGAAGTATGTTTAAGCTATTTCAAAAACTATCTATGTTTTTATGGTAACAAATAGTCAAACTGAAAGCCGTGCGTTGTTTAGCAATCGGGAACGGGTCAGGGCGTGGCCGCGTGCAAGCGGAGTCCTTGACCCAGATCGCTACTGCACCCCCGCCCTCCTCCCGCGCCCCCACACCCGGCATAGAAACGAACGCTGCCAGCGCTTTATAAAGCCATGCGTCTATTTTTAGCGACTCGTGGTAGCGCTGCAGCGGCTTTATTCCAATCGACGTTCTATTTTTAAATCCGGGCGTTGGCAACATAGTTGTTACCAAAATCGGGAGTTGTGCTGCCATAAAATGTTTCAAGCGATTTTGGATCTTATTGCACTTGTGTTTTGGATTCGAAATATTCTTGATTGGACTACTTGTGTTACTTGAAACAAAGAACTCTTCAGATGAAATCTTAATGCTTTCTTTATGGTATTTTTTATATTTATCTACGAAAATGGAGCAATGATGAAACAAATCCCAGTTGACGGGCACTGGAAAATATCTTAAAAAAAAATTAAAAACTAGGGAAATCTAGGTACTTGGCAATTGTTTATTTAAGAAATTATTTGAACCAAAATGTGCTCATTAACAAATAATCGCCGGACATCCGGCCGTGGACCTTTCACCTTGCACAAGTAAAATATAAACTAAATACGTTTTTGGTTAAACAAATTGTGTTTTGCTCCCATTATTAGGTAGATAAGTTATTTTCTTAATAATCTTGTGATCTCATAGCTGATAAGTTCTGGGAGTAACAGGAAACTAGAATTTATTGCTGGTCAGCATGTTCTAAATTTTAAAATCCGCGAACCTTTGAAAAGTAAAATATATTTAGGTCACTGTCATGACTTAGTTCAGTTTGCCTAAGGGGGGGGGGGGTTATGTCGGCCAAGTTTGACACCCGCGCCTTTCTCCTTATGCCATATATAGTCTTGCAACTATGTACGTCAGGATAAGTAAAAAATATCAATAGTTTTTAAAAATAACCAAATAACCAGTCTGGTAAAGACTTCAAATGTTTATTTTCTTTTATAACATCGTTTTTTGTATATAAAATAATTGAAATGTAATGTAATTTTTATGGCTTGTTGAGTGACCCACTAACCTGATTAGTTCCGACGGCGGCCTATCTCTGCGATTATTCTCCCCTATCTATGCGATCCTAGTACTTGCTATCACCAGCCTGTAGTCTTATCATACAATGATATTTAGATACCTGATAACTTATCATGTGGATAAGAATAGAAATCGGTTTATTTTATTTGTTTATTTATTACATTATTTTATGTAACATATTGTATGTTTCTTCTTAATTATCAGGTAATAAAGTATTTAAGAGACAGAGGATTCATCTGTATTGTTTTTAATGTATGTATGTGTTTAGATGCACAGCTGTGAGCCGCTGCCGGCGCTGGGCGCGCCCCTGGGCACCGCGGCGGCGTCCGGCCCCGCTCTGTTGCGCCAGCTCGGTCGCCTCATAGTGCGCGCGCGCAGTCCCGCCGCGCGCCGCACCGCCAAGCTGCGCGCCGCACATCCATCCACCAGCCAGGTATGACCTACACCAAAGTTACACTATACGCTCTCCTGTTCTACACTACTCCATAAATGTCCTCACTCCAGTTATAGTGCGTCGTACAGTAAACAAAATCAGTGCAAGGTATGCAATTAGTAAAATGCTGTGGTTCTCTTTACAGGTAGCGCCGCAATCAAATGTGGAGTGCCCGGAGCCGCAGTCCGTCGTGGAGGAACAGCTGGAAAGCCACGTGTCGGCGCTCTGGAATGAACAGATCCCCGTTTGCATTGAGGTCAGTAAATCCATATACAACCGTCGTTAGCGCTGTGAATGTATCTCAGTCGTACTTTACATATAATAAAAAGTAAGAATAGTTTAATAATGGGAATATGTTGGTGTTGCAGGTGCTGCTGGCCCCCGAGTGCGCGCAGTGCCGCGCGGCGCTGGAGGGCGGCGAGCTTGCCTACGAGTCTCGGCCCG